TCCCTAACGTTCTGTGATTCTGTGAATTTCACAACTGAAAGGCAAAATTTTCATACCTGAATACAAACACTCATCATTGCTGTAAAAATTAATTTCAGTAGAAAGATTTTCCTTATGACCCAAAAAAGGATAAAACTGTTATTTTTTTTCCAGGATATGAAGTTGTTGGTCATTCAAGGGAGAGATTCAGTAAGCTTTCACATTGTCATTTGGAAGCAATTATCTTTCAGTTTGACATTAGTTTTAGGGAGAATCTGAGACCCAACAGTTTTATTGTACTTATTTTTATTGGTCAGTAAAGAAATTACATAATACTAACACCTCTTACTTTTCAAGTCTTATGTCTCCAGTGAATCAAACTTACCATCTCTAATTACTATATATTCACGTTCTTGTGCTGATTCCTGAGTGACTAGAGGCAGTCACCTCAACTGCATTTCAAAATATACGATCATAAATATCCACTATGATGTCTGGCTTGCAAATATCTCAGTTCAAAATTCCCTTTTCTTTGGTACATACACCTTTCAAATTGGCAGGAAATAAACAGAAAATGGTTTATAGCTTTAGACTAGATATTATCAGTTGCTATGGGAAAAAACACAGGAACTACTGAGGAATTAGAAAAACATCCTCCTTTTTTTTTTTTAATTAGATCACAGTTTACCAACCCCAAGTATTCACCAATTCTGAGCCAGGCTGCAGACTGGCTAGCAAATAATAATTTTTTTTTAAAAAGGGTTCATTTTAGTTGTCATGCATTTTTCAAGTCTTAGAAAACCCTGTCTTTTTAAATAAGTTGTTCTGCAATCACTGGAACAATACAGAAAGTATTATGTGCTGTAGAGTCCATACTGCATCCTTTAAACTGGAGTGACTCCTATTACCGCCCATGACTTTATGATGCTCTCCTCCTCCTCCTCTTCTCTGTATCTCTTCATCCCCACAACTTCTAGTCCTCTTTCGTGCCAAGGGCAAGAGGCAGCAGGTACATGGCTCGTTGATTGATACACAGCTTTAAAACACCTAAAGTGTGCTGATTGCTTGGCTTGCTAAGACGTCAGCAAGAAGGTCCAAGTTTCAGCTCAAGCTGAAACGTTTCTTATCAGTAGCATCATTGTATCTGTTTGCATCCTTTCCTCCTGGGAGCTGATAGTCTTCACAAAGCTTGTATAAATCTGTTTTATTTCCTCAGATATCTGCCTCCAGAAAAATTTAGTTTTAGAGTACCCCATGAGTTTGATATGTATGGGGGAGAAGTGGGCTGACAGAGTGTGGTCATCTATGTTTTTCTTACGGAAATTATGTTGAAAACAGAAGTTATCAACATTGTGCCTTTATCTAAAATTTTTCATTAAGGTTTTAATCTACAGTTGTTTTAAAAAAAAATGCTGGCTATTCATTTAAAAATCATCCCTTGAAACTAAAAATAACATCTGTAAGAAAAGGTTAATTACTTTCTAAGTTCTAGGGAGTGCAGTGCTAACCAGCAGCTAATGGTGCCCATCACTACCAGGCCTTCTAAAATCCTTTCTCACTGTTCCTCATTTAAGTGATGTGCACACGTTGCAATTTGTTACAATGTAACTATTTACATTTAGATTTTAAAAATACATACATATTATATATATATATAAATTTACAGGCACTTAAACATGTTACAAAGCTTTTATGCATTCGTGTGCCTCCACAGTAGTCCTCAGTGTGGATATTACAGGCTATTCCGGAGGTCAGAGACAAGCACATGGTAAATCCAGATGAGCATCAAACAAGTGTGCAGGAAAAAGTTATGAGACCTTTATAAAGTAATGATTTCTTTCTGATTCCCAATGTAAGTTAATGAAATATTCTCACCCTGACAACAAATAACCTATAGTGATCTTGTTTTGTGTAACACTGGTCTCTTAAACTGCCTGCCTCTGACAAAATTTTCCGTGGAGACCCCAACCAGCTAAGCAGCACTGGAAGCACCGCTGGCTGGAGGTAAGGAACTCCCAAACCAATCAGAGACTATTCTTCTGTCAGGTCTCCTTGAAAACATTTCTTCTACTGCGTGGTAACAGATGACAGTGTGCTCTACAACCTTTACCTTGGATTTCTGAAAGCAGCAGACTAAGAACCAATACCAACACAACTTAAGGGATTGTTTAAACGTTTTAATTTGTGTTGTTTTACAAGTGTAAAAGAAAACCTATGGATCACATCTTGCATACTCTTACACGTGAATAATCCTTATTGAGCAATCCTTTGTGTGACTCAGGACTACTCAAGCGAGTACAGTTTTTAACAGCCCTATACCCTTCCATTGAACACATACACCTTTAACATTCACAGAGGAGACTAAAACTGCAGTAAACTCACAGCAAGAGATCAGTCATTCACACACGTACATCCTTCCTAACCGATACCATCCTCTCAGTGCAGCCACTGAGTGTACTGGTAACAACACTGTCTAGACTGTCATTATCCTGAGAAAAAAAACTGCCTCTCTTAGCATTATAGGACACTTTACAAAAATAAGCCTGTCCTTTAAAACACTGGTCTTAACAGAGTATCTGTGTCTCTATGACTCCCTCTCATACCCTCTTTCTATCAGCAATGCCAGCACATCTAGATCAAAACATACACAGAACAGCAGTTCTGTTGGTTAATCTCACTCCATGCTGTGGTGACATGAGGCACAGCAAAAGCAACAGCCCTCATATTCAGGGAGTGTTTAAACTGTATTTGGTTAGTCTGCACAACTAAGGCAAACCCATATGACAATAATATGACCCATACAATTTTTTTTTCTCTCACAACAGTGATTTAAATATTCAGTGCTCTATGCATGCACTTCAGGAGATTGGTATGAAAATAGGAAGTAATATGGCACACTCTAAAAATATGCATATACAGTAGTCTTCATCATTGGTATGGGAAGTTCCATGGTACTTACTGTGTATACACACTGGACTCCTGGCTGTGTAACTCCCCTACTGTTGACTTCACTGTAGCACAAGCATTTCACTGGCTGAGGTTTGTGAAGCTTCCACTGTTTCCAAATAGCAAAATCACAACAGTACTCTCACTAACAGTCCAAAAAGTCCAAAGTATGCCTTAAGGATCTGAGAGCTCTCTCTTTAGATATGAAGTACTTCTACATATGAAGCCACTTTTTTCCCAGAGACTAACATTTCAGAGCTAGATACATCTGTAGACAGGCAACAACCATAATTCCCTGATTATTGGTGAGTATCCAACTGTAAAGTCAGATATTCAGTTTTAGCTAAGAACACCTGAAAGTCTGGGTCTGTATGCTGAACTCTGCAGCTTTGGAAGAAAAGGTTACATTATCACTTGCTCCTTTAACTTACTACTGAAAAAAAAAAAAAAGAAATACTCTTCTACATCTAGAAAAGTATAGAGAAATACTATACTGTACTTCTACATACAGAAGTACAGAGAAATACTGCACTGTCTTCAAGGAGTCACTTCACTATTCTATACTCCTAAGAGAGAGAAATTAGAACTGAGACATTTCGTGTCTTCCCCAGATAAGTGAGATACATTCTCATGGTAAGCTCAGGCCAAAAATTCCCATTACCATCCACCAATAAATTTAATGAGATCTACAGACACATACCACACAGACCATAACTCCATTATAAAACTGAACTATGAAGACATTAATTTACAGTGCAGTAAAGAAAAAAATAAAAACAGCTTAGCTTTTTGCAGCACTGTATGTGACACATTTCATGATAAATGACCTTAGACACAAACTTCTTTACTTCTAATACAATGATGCTGATGTCATCCCTACTGAAGAATGTTACATCCTACAGGACGACAGGATAGAGGCTAAGCTTCGGATCCTAGGAGATGCTTGGAGACATGAATTACTTGTTTCCACTAGCAGCCATAATGTATAATACTCAGAAGAAATGCAAGGTGCCAAGCAAACAAAGTGCAAAAAGCTTTCACTTAATTTTCAAAAAGATAGTTTTTGTGTGTTTCTACTAAATTACTGGGTGCTCATCTGCTAAAGCTTTCTCAGCAACTTGAAAAATACAGAAACACTTTTATTTGTGGTGATATAGTGCATAGAAGAAAAAGTCAATGACTTCCGTTTCTTCTTTCAGATTTCAATCCTGGGATACTTGTGAGGTAAAGACGTTGGAGGGTTTTGAACTACTGTCATTAAACTAACCATAACATACCACAGTCTCAAAAAGAAGGACTCAGCTTCTCCTATCCTCACATAAAAAGTCACTGAGTTGCCTGCTTGGTGCAATGCCAACCCCATGACAATCAGGGTAGTGCTCATCTCTTTAACTTCAGCCATCTAAAAGGGAGAGGGATAGTAAAAACTAATTGTCAAGGCATCTGGTTAAATATCAGTAATAGGTCTCCAGAGAATGAATCACATCCACTGCCTTAGAGGACACTTTAAGATGGTTGAATTACTCCCTGTAATTACATGTCTCATGCTCCGGAGAGCACCTACATGACTAGTTCATACTGTCTGCCCAACTTCTAGAAATTTAAAGTTACATAAAGTGAACACCACCCTAATACCAGAACATCACAAATGAAGTATTAGATAAATGATAATGTCAGAAAAATTAGCTATTCCAGAACACCACAACTGATGTGTTACATTTATTTCCCTTACTATCAAGCAGCAAATATGAAGGATAAAACAGTGCAAAGCCAATAACCCCTCTGTCCATTCTCACTAACAGTCACATTTCAGTATCAGTGCTGGCTAACTGGCTGTTTCTTGGCAACCTAGACTACAGTGCATTGCAGAAGTCCAATTCTTATACCACAGAGAGAAGTATGATCTTATTACATGGATTAGAGTATAAAAAAGTTGGCAATTTGATCAAAGCAGACCACAGGTCTATGCTCTGTTTCCATGCTAGGGTGGCATGCCATAATGACATCCTATCTGAAATAAAATGCATTTCCTCCCATCCTCAGATTTCCTGAGTAAAATGAGCATCAGGTCAGTTTTTGAAGGATGTCTCCTATAATGATTTCAAAATAAGCATGTGATAATAAACCTATGTGCAAAAAACCTCTGAAATAGAAGTCTACAAACAATGATTGCTCTCTGTACACAAACACCCACAGATACACATACTCATACACTAAGTTTTCCACAAAGGTTGTCTTGTCAGTCATCATGCAGTGCTACACCTGCAAGAAAGAAACCCCATCCACAAGACACAATGTCCAAGATATCAAACATTCCCGGGAGGTGATCTGCCACCTTCCAAAGGCACCTACTTGCTTCCAGTTGTATTAGGCGTTGCAAGAAGCACTTTGATGAGGATTCCCCTTTTGAGAATCTATTGTCTTGCTACTGCTCCATGCTTCATCAGTATTTTCAGATTTCACCTCTGCCTTGTCTGTCAGTACAGTGGATTTGGGAGGCTCGCAAATAAAGCAAAGGAACTTGAAACAGGACAACAAGCCTTCAGAAATGCTGGATGAGAAAAGCTTTTTGCATGGGTGGCAGAACTGGTAGAACACCAACATGAAGAGGACAGCCATGCAGTAACCTATCAGGAGCTGCAAGACCAATAACGGGGCGCAGACATACAGATAGATATCAGTCTTATAGATGTACCACATCAGCAGGAGGAATGCATTCTCAATGAATCGCAGCATGTAATACACAGTCAGGCGGTACCAATTTTGGGATTTGTTAATTAAGTCGGGATCATTGAGCTTCACCTGTACTGCCGACCAGCAGAACATGTTAATGCCAGCGTACAGGAAGGTGAGAAGGCACAAAACGATGGTAGTACCAACCCTGCTCAATGCCTTCTCTATGTTCTCGGGAAATGGGGACTTACTGTGCCAGAAGAGAATCCACGGGTAGAAGAAAAAACCAAAGAAATTCACGAGCACAACAGGGAGAATCCAGATTTGAAGGACTGAACTGAAAAGGACCAACACCGTAACTCGCGTAGCAATCTCAAAGCTTCTCCACATGAATATGCAGAGGTAGGCAGCTGGTTTCACGCTGACATCATAATCATCATACTTAATCTTAATAGCTAGGATGTTGCAGCGTAAGGCGCCATACACAATTGACAGGAGAGAAAGGACCATACAAGTACCTACAAAGAGAAAAGAAATCAGGGCCTTCAGTTTAGCAGAAGTTAAAGACATTGCATCAGAGTAGTGCAAAGATGTAGTTGTCTTCACAGCACTCCTGGGGATTCCCAGAAGAGTGAAATGACAAAAAAAACCCAAACATAAAACCAACCAAACAACACATTCCTCATCTGCACTTCTGGGTTCTTACTCTAACCCTACCTCCTATTTTGGTCCCTATTTATTATTTTTTCAAGTAGCTAGAAAGACAAAATAGCACTTAACAGTCTTGAGTGTCTCTCCCTCCTCCCCTTGCCCAGGGCTGTTCATACATACACTGTCTTTGGTAATTAAACAGCTCAACCATAATAGCATCCAAGCTGCTCTCAAACTCCCACAGTACTCCACAAGGCACAGGGGTGCTACTACCCCTCTGTATGGATGAAGAGCTGTGAAACAGAAGCTGAAATTTTGGACTTACTTGGGCATGCAGACACCTCATTTCTTGTGAAGTTCCATGTTGGAGAAAATTGACTAAGCTCACAAAAGTGTTCTGAGACAGAGTTCAAAACTGAAAGTCAAAGTAATTTAAAGCCAGAACCATCTGCAATTTTTCTGCCTGTATAGACAGAGATTTGCTCACCTGTCTACACTGTTTTCTTATACGTGTTTTCCTTATACACATCTATATCATGCATTTAAAAACACCACTTCTTTTAAAAATGTCTTTAAATTCAGATCAACTTTCAGTGTTTCCCATCTACCTAGAATCCCTTAAGTGAAGATTTCACAGCATTTAAATTCTGCAGAAAGTGAAAGCAGAGGCCAGTTGTTACCTGGCTTCCCCTCTAGAAGCAGCAGGGAAAAGCTTTCTGGCACTGCAGGAGAGAGTCTTGTCTTGCTTCCTTAAGTAGATACCAAAGTATAAGAACTCTGGATGCATAGAATAAGCATTCATAGAGAAGTACCGTGATGTTTAGAAACGCTAACTACTCAGTTTTGTTAGCATTTGCACATTTCTTCACAATGTTTACCAGCATGCTGAAAGGCTGATTTAGGGGACTAATTCTAGTCACCCCCAACTGATACTTTTAGTTTCAATCTTAGCATTTTGTCCATGCAAGGAACACTTCAGAAGCAAATGAGTGAAGCACAGTAAAGTTTATTTGGTTGTTTCTTTTAGAGTTTCCATGAAACTAAGCAAGCTAACTTGTCATGCTACAGGGCAATATATTCCATCAGATTAAAAAAATAATCAGATTTGGGAATTCTTGATTATGTCAATTACTTTTGCAGCGGTTAGCAACCAGTGCTTTCCGCAGCCTTCAATTGATTTATAAGTAAATATCCTACAAATGAACTGGATTCCCTGCTTTGCTGTAGCTACATAGCCACGAATATAATTTTTTCTGGTTATTTATTAATTTCTGAGCATGACTTTGAAAGAAACAAGCATATTTTAGATATCTAAAAACTTCCTAACAGGATTTTCTCTATCATAGCTAACCTCTACTTTAGCTAACCTCTCTTCCACTCTGATCCTCAATCACCTCTGAATTACTTTGGAAAATAATTAATTAATCTTTTCTATCTAATTTTCCAATAGAATTTAGTAAGCTGGAAAACAATTGCCATTTTATATGATGATTTTGTACATGCCAGTTTGGTGGTGCATATTTTAATAAGTGTTTTTAAACATCTTTCTTACAGCACTGTACTCGACCTGAGAATTTTTAAACATGGTATCTTAGAAAAACACCGCCTGAAAGCAGAAGAGCAAATGGGTGCAGTCAAGAATACCGCTTGATATCCTGTGGCTCTTTACAAAAATCTTTCCTGTAGTCTTGAGTCAGCTCTAGAATTGTGAAAGAACAAATAACTTCCAATTAATGAAGCAAAAAAAATGTTTTCAGAGTTAAAGAAACAAAAAAGGCTATCCACTGGGGGCAGGGTGCTGCTATCCTGAAACTCTGCTTGCTCTCTGCTTTGATAAGCTGAGACATTCATCTTATTATCCCATTTTAATTAAAGGGATTCTATCTTAATCTCAAGCTTGTCTTAAAAACTCAAGTTTTCGAAAGAGGCATTTCTCCATTGACAGAAACCAGGTCATGCTGACAGTAGTCCAGTCCTGCTCCTTTCCCAAAGCTCAGTACTGCCACCAAACCTTCACTCAAACATCACTTTTAAGTCTGAGAAAGATGGTTTGAAGCAACCACAAAGGGAAATGTGGGAGGGTAATGTTATTGTTGCTTTTACTTATCCTGAGCTGGCAATGAAGCAAAAACTTAAAAGGCAAAGTACCAACCCCTGGAATAGTCCCAAATCTCCTAACAGTCCTCATGAAGGTGGCATCTCTCTCCATCCTGCCTACTGCCAGAAGGCTGTACTTCTCTTACAAATCAGAGGTGCACATTCGCAAAGTCATTCAGAGAGGCAGTTTTACTTTGTTGGGTTTTTTTTATTATGCCTCAAGTCTTTTAAAGACCTGGGCTTTCTCACTTCAGAAATTTCTAAGAAAGTGAATTCTGCTCTAGATGAGCTACATCACAAATACCTACTCTACTGAAATCTTACACTCAGCTGAAGAATTGCAAGTTGTCTATTATATATATTATAGTTTTCTAAAAAGATAATCAGAACCCTTGAAAAAATAAGGGCACTTATTTTGTTACTTTGGGCAAAACACGAAATATTTTTTTGCCTCAAGACATGATTTTAACACTTAAAAACATCTATTAATACTCAAAAAGTACTCAAAGTATGGTGTTCAAACAATAAGAAAAGTATTCTGTGGTCAGAGCTTAATGAGTTGAGAGAAAGCAACTGTAGAAGCATCTTAAGATATCTGGTAAGACCACCTACAAAGCACAGCTCATAAACATTAGGAAAGTGACACCGCAAACACCAGCAAGTAAAAAAAAAAGTAAAAATCACAAACCCAAAGCTTCTGTTCTTGTAGATGGCAGTCACTGTTACAAATTTTCATTTAAAAATAAAAACGAAAAACAAACCAACCCCCCAAACAAACAAACAAAACCAAAACCAAACAAAACAACCTACCTTTTTCAGCAGAATAATTTTATTTTTAAATAGTATGAAATCTGCCTTTTGAGATTATTTTGTCATTGTAAGGAACACTTAAAAAGCTGCACACTGAGAACTGGCCCTTTTTCAACAGTAAGGGGTCAAGTTGCACATCCCTCATCTCCAGATACCTGTTTTTGTCATTAGTGCTAACTCAGGTCTTTTTGGCACCTCCTGGCCTTGTGCTTCTGCAGGTGGTTCTACCCACGTGAAGAGGTGCTGATAGCTGCCCAGCAGTTGGTAAATGGACCTGAGCCTGATGTCAGTCAGGCTTCGAAGCAAGGTTAGAGCTGGCTCCAAGACAATGCACGATACTGACAGATGCTGAAGCATTTAGTACAGGGTGACACCCAAATGTGCATCCTTCAGCATATGTTCTGGGAGTGGCAATTACAAAGTCAGATTGGGCATCTGTACAGTAACACATTAGGAACTCCTTCTCAGTTACGCTGTAACCAAAGAAAGAGCCAAATGTCTAGACCTAGGACTCAGACTAGGCTATTACATGTGCGTGTCCAACCTTGCAATTCATCCAACAACATTTCTACATATTTCATGCTAAGCAGTCACCATTGTCTTTCATCACTAGCCTAGAGGCTTTGTCCTGTTTTTGCAACTCTCTTTAGTTCTCTTGATCTTACATTCTTGGCAAACAGTGAAATGACAATTTCAGAGAATTCCAGACACTGGCAAGAATCTGATCATTCAGAAGAAAACATCCAAAGAAAATAATGAATGCCACGAAATACACAAGAAAGATGCAGCATGGCTCTGGTTGACAAAGGGCTAGACAAGGATGCATGCTCTTTTCAGAACTGTTCAATTCAGTATTAGAAGCAATAATGTTCAAACAGTTCTGAAAGGGACAAATGTAGCCTGATGGTAAACAGCTTCAGGTTCACAGGTGATATTGACCAAGCAGAGTTTACAGAGAAAAACAGACAGGGTAGTGTAGGAATCCAGAAAAATAAAAGACTGCTGTGGAGACAAGAAAAAAAATGTGGAAATCAAAATACAAGATGGCAACAGTGATAATTATAATGGAGACAAATGGAAAAGAGCATGCACTTTGGAAGACAAGTGTCAAAGAATAGGGAAATTGAAGACATCTTAAGTGCGGAAGAAGAGCTGGACTGGCTGTTAAAATACTTGGGCAATATTTCTGAATCAACAGGTTGAAGTCATGTCCCTATACATGAGAATCCCCACGTACACATAACTGACAACAAGCTGAAGCCGTGTTATGCATCATTCCTGTTTACTTTGGAGGCTGAATAATACTGACGGACAAAAGGTTCCACTGCAGAAATAAGCTGGCTAAAGAGATCCCAGAAAGTTTCAATATTTCAGAAGGTTAAATACATACAAGAGGAATATGGCTGGGACTCTGTTTTTCAGATTAATGAGCTCTAATAGACATTGCCATTGTTCCTAAATCGATGATTAAGAAAGAAAGAACAAAAAAAACCCCAAACAAAACCAAAAAACACTTTTGTTTTTTCTTTTAATTTCTATAATTTAGAATTACACCTGCTATGGAGATAGCTCCTGGAAGACAAGAGATGACTACAGCATTTGCTAGTGGGTTAGCTTTGCTCCCTGGTGAGCCAGCTTATCTCTGGATGTTTAACTTCACCCACAGAAGGTCACTTATCAGTCTGCGATTCAGAATTTCTCTCAGCAGAGCCTGATAAAAGTCAGAAGTAACAGGACATTACAAATCATTATTAAATATTAAATTCTCTAATCATCTGGAACATAGAGCTTCTCCTTGACAATCATGACCAGTAAGGTCAACACCAGTAATAGAAGAAATACAATAAAAAGGTGACCTTCCTCAAGCAAATGCCATCTGCAGTGAAGTGATTGGAAATTTTGCTAATTGCACCACTCAACAAAGGATTCAGCTGCTTTGTTCTCATCCCATGTCACAGATGCCATGGTTATTTAAACAGCCTACCTTAGCCGTGAAGTACTCAGAAACTGTCACGAGCAATGTCTTTCAAGTAAGTTGAAAGACCTTAAACAAACAGCAAGACCTCAGTCGGTTGTAATATCCTTATGTGCTGACTTGGCTTTTCGTATACTGAAGTTTCCCATTCTCTGAGTTGGGGGGAGAACCCTGATGTTATTTATCATAAAGGTTTCTCCAAAAATCTTAGTTCCTTACCTTGGTACACTGCCGACCATGGCACCAGAACTGAAGAAAGCATTCAGATTCGTAACATGTCACCCTAACCTCAGCCTCCCTAGCTGTGAAGCTGATAAAGATCCTTGGCCTCTAAAGGCTTCAGAGACAAAACAAGGGCTATTCTGCATTTCAGTGGAAATACACCTCCAGTTCACACAGGTGCCAAAGTCCTTCTTTCTTACACTGAAAAGCTGGGTGTTTTACAACCAGCTGGAGTAGGTTCTTCATTTAGCAGCCAGCCAGCAAATCAAGATTTATTTTTTCAAGGAGCTGGAGCACATCATGGAACAAGATGCAGAGTCCCATGATAAGAGAGATGTGTCTTGGTAAGTCTATGTGGTGCAGCACTGCTTGGTGAAGACTTAGTAGCCTGGGTCCGCAGATGAGATAGCCACATTTGCATACCAGCTTACTGAGTCCTGCCTTCTGATTCCAAATTCAGTCTGGCATAAGTAAAGACAGTTGACATCCTCAGTCCATATTTGAAACTGTATTCCAGAAAGTACACCTTCCTTAAGGCAGCATGGCAAAACACGCTCTGCACTGTACCCCAAGGAATTTTCCAGAATGTTTGCTCAAAAACCAAAATGGAACAGAGGTAATTTTTTTGCTCTTTTGAAGACAGCTTAATCCCTCCAGCTGCCTCCTTTTCATGCCATTATGACCACTTATCAAATTAATGTTTTTACAGCAACCCAAGTATGCTACAGGAAGCATCATAACCTAAAACATGATGGTAAAGATAAACTTGAGAGCAACATCACCATCAAAAGCCATCAGGGAGATGAAACCCATTGCTTTATATTTGGTTCTTGCCCAGGGCAGCTACACCTGACTACTGACCCTTCTCCTCTCCCTCCCACCAAAATACAGAGGTGATAACAGCCGCTCTACCTACTTCTGGCAGCCGTGATCTCCTGCTGCAGAACACAGATGTAAAGCTGGAGTGTGAGCTGGGGCGCTGAGCCGAGGAACGCCTGGATCACCGATGCCCTGCTGAATGCAGACCTGTGCGTACACAGCTTGCCTTCAGCCTGGCCCACTTCTTTCTCGACTTCTTCCGAGTACCCATCCTTGGGCATCTGCCTCTTTTTCGTGATGCTGACATAGGGCTCTTCAACTCTGCCAGCACGGAAGTAAATGTAAAAGACTTCCACACACCTAGAAGCAAATCAGTAAACAGAGTCACAGAAAAAAGTGAAGGAAAAGCATAGGACTTCCCACTCCTTAGTATTTTAAGTCATAACATACTGAGTCATTTGCTCACAGAACAAAGCCTATACACTTTCTCCTCTTTGTAAATCTGGAATATGACAGACTTCACCCTTTAATACATGAACTACATGCACCTAGAGGGCAAGAATCTGGCAGTGCCCTTTAGGCAGACAGAGGATTTGGCTCAGTAATTTCCTATGAGCTGCCCTTACTCTCTGCTGTCCTATTAAAGTCCTTAAGCTACTCATTCACTGCAATGTTCACAGGTTCCCAAACCAGGACCCAGGTTGGAAGAGTTTCTTCAGATTCTCACATCTTTCTCTTGATGTTATCTGTGCATCTGTGACATGGTGATAAAACCACCTCTCATAACTTTGCCTTAAACAATCTCGAGACATTGGAGAGAAGCTCAGGGTATGTGCAGGTGCACACACCTCAAACAGTTGCTCCCTAGTCTTTGTTTTACCAAGCAATGGTCCTAAAACACAACTAACAGGCCACAGCAGCAATAACGACAAAGAGCAGTTTAGAGCTTCACAACTCTGGATATTAACATTTTTTAAAAGACACAGAAATAGGAGCTTTACTCCTTACATTTGCTTACATTTATTAAGCTGTTTAAGGAATATTAAACACAATCTTGCAAAAAAAAAATTCTAAATAAAAGTATGCAGTGTTTCTAGTTGCTGCAGCTCTCTGTACTTTAAACACAGGCGAACCAAATCCTCTTGTCTATGTAGGCCTAACTTACCACAGACTAACTTACAAAGAAAAAGGCAATACCAGCACATACATTTCTATTCATAAATTACATACTGTTGTAATACACACTGCCTCTACCCATGCACAGAGAATAATCCACATGTTTAGGAGAGAATGGAAAAGGGCTAGAGAGGTTAGCAGAACCAAATACTGTAGCAATGAGGACAAGTTGGCTTCTTCAGTATTAAAGATAATACACCCTCAGACTGTTCTGAAACTTCTTTCCAATGTTTATTTCTAGTTCAGCAAAAACTTTAGAAAAAGTATTCTAAGAGAGTTGCTTGGGTACGAATGTGTCAAGGGTGGGCTTGGGCATCAAGCAGGACCCAAAAAAAATGGGAAAACAGTCAACTTTGTCTGGGAAGTGGTAACAAGCAAAGATCTACTGTGATACAGATGAAAACACAAGCTGAGGGAGAAGGGAAGGGAAAGAAACACTGTTTCATAGAATCATAGAATGGTTTGGGTTGGAAGGGACCTTAAAGCTCATCCAGTCCAACCCCCTGCCACAGGCAGGGACACCTCCCACCAGACCAGGTTGTCCAAAGCCCCATCCAGCCTGGCCTTGAACACTTCCAGGGAGGGGGCATCCACAACTTCCCTGGGTAACCTCTTCCAGTCTCTCACTGCCCTCACAGTAAAGAATTTCCTCCTAGTATCTAGTCTAAATCTACCCTTTTCCAGTTTAAAACCATTCCCCCTTGTTCTATTGCTACCTGCCCTTGTAAAAAGTCCCTCCCCAGCTTTTCTGTAGGACCCCATTCCTCAGGGTCCTAAAAATACATGTCCTGCTGTGGAGGAATACATGTACAGCAGGACCATTAAGGGTAAATGGCATTGACTACTGAAAAATAACCCCTCCCAAAAGCCCAAACCCAGTGCAGACACAACCTGTTTTCTCTTTTATGCCTAACACTGGTATGGGCTTCCTAGAAGAAAAACAATTGTAGTGTGAGCAACAGGACTGGTTGAGGGCTTGCTTCCAGTCCACAGGAAAACTCGGGGGAGCGAAACCCGCACTGCGAGGGTGACCTGTGGGACCAGCTCTGGTCACATCTCCTCCCATGGCCTGGCACACATTGTATCATCATCTTCTGTAAGTGTCATCCTCTGATGAGGATGTCTTCTTTCCTTCCATAGTGCCCGCTGGGGTTCATCTCCTCTACCTCATTGCCTCTGTACGTAATACTTGGTGGAATGCAGCATCTCGGAGTCTCTGACAGGTCCCATCTGGCCAGTGAGTTTACGTATAAATACAGCTTATCTTCTATTTAAAAGTATCTCACAATCACAAAGCACAGAGCTATGCCTGTCTGAGACTATGAATTCCCGTTTCCTTCTCAGCTTGATTTTTTCAACAATTGCCAAGTCAGAGTCTAAACACAGCCTTTGAGGAAAGATCACAGACTGAACTGTAAAGCAGAACTGACAGAAATTCAAATAAAAGCATACTGATTTTTGTTTCAATAAACTTGATTTCATTTTTTCCCCTAACTGGACCACTAGCAAGTTTCACTTGTTCTATACAGAGAGCAGTTTTAGGATCACGTAGTACTATCCTTGATTCACTAGGCTTAAGCTACTATTATCACTACTAAAGCTCTTTGAAGCACCTGGTGTGCTGGAGGCTCCATTCACAGTGGCAACTCTCTGTTTTCGCCTTGTTAATCTTTTCAGCCCTTGCCAGTCTTGTTCCATGTCAAAGAATCCACACAGCCAAAAATAAAGTGTGAAAAATCAATAAAGCTTATGAAGCCAACAGAGACTCTGAAACCAACAAATTGATTTTATTCCAAAAGAAAAGATCTCAGAACATTTTTGTCTCACTTAGTATTCACAGCCATCTATTCACCCTGAGTTGAGGGCAAGTCTGAAGCTATTACGGAAAATAAGATCTCAGCATCAGCCTCTGAACTCTTGCCACATGCAATCAGAAGCAGATAGAGTCTAGGGACCCATCTAACAAATATGCAGTAATCCCATAAAAGAGATTATAAGATTCAAAAGACTACTGACTATAGCAAATATTATAATCAACAATATGTTGGGCTTTGGAGCAAGCACTTGATTTGTATTTATTAGTTAAGTATTACGTAGCAGTATATTGTGATGGGAAATTTTATGTCCATATAGAAACGCAAACACAATGTGAAATGAATGGTCTGATGAGCAAACCTTAGGACCAAAGAAGACTTTTACAAGTACAACAGAGTAATAAAAATGGTATGTGCAAGCACTGAGATTACATCAGTAATGATGCCCATCTTCTTCCAAGCCCTGCCCATCCCATGCAATAGTGTCTCTGGAGGTCCTGCCTTCTGGGGCCAATAACAAACACACTGAAGACTCTAACTGGTGCCACTGCACAAGGAACTGCTTCAAACAGGAGGAGACTGGCAGCTAATACACTAAAACAAAAAAAATCTAAATGTTTAATTAATAAAACGCAAGAGAGGCACAGACACTTGAAGAACCACCCAAGTGAGAAGTGTTCAGAACAGCGATGAATAATCAATTTGGATCACATACCTGTGTCATATTATGACTTTGTCTATGAAGTGCATTCGGAAAAGCTGTCAGGTTGTCTTTAAATGAACCAGCCTTTTTTAGTATGAAACACAACTAAAAGACAACGCAACAAGATGAATGCCTCAAGCCAGTTTTCCTCCATGGTTACAAACTCTGCTACAGGATAGGAGACTCACCAGAAGCCCCAGTTGCTCATTGCTGCTCTGGAGGAACAACAATGGGAGGTCCCATCTCCTGCAATGCTGGGATGCTTAGGGCCCTTTCAACAGATCCTCACATGGCATCAGCAGCAGAAGGCATACAGCTGGCCAGTTCCACTGCGTGCAAAGCAATGACAGTTGCAGTATGGGATCTGAAGGAACTAAAATTACTTTGAAGAAAAGAAAAAGGTCAGATGTACTCTCTACAGTGAAAGTTAAAAGGTAAGAAAAAGATGGTTTGCTTCCTCCCCTGCTGCCAAATCTTGGCAGAGAAAAAGAGATGTACTTTTTCAAGGATCCTGATGGTGCCTACAAAGAGTGATTCAGCAGCAACACATTCGTCTTCTGCACAGCCAGTGGGAGGAATAATCCTATCATTATACGCCTGCTGAGAGCAAGCACCTCATTCCCTCTTTTAATGATGGATGTGTGGGATTTAAATACAGGCAAAATAATGGTGATGTGAAGAGGGAGAAGTCAATGAAAACAGGGGACTTCCCACAGCCAACATGCGCTCCAAGAGCAAACGTCTATTGGAGAGACCTATTCACACATGCCCACTGCAAATGCACAAGCAGGTTTCTCTGATTACTCCATTTTCAATAACTCCTTTTCTTTAGAGAAGTGTGCAAAAGACTTATCAGTCTTGGAGATTTACTTACCTCTGTCAGACAAAGATTTGTTCCTCACTCATTGTTCTACCTTCCATCTGCACTGACTTTCTGCTCATCGCATCTTGGACACCTAACACATCTGCTCAAGAATAAAGAAAGAAAGAAAGAAAAAAGAAAACAAAGAGCCTGAAGAGGGTCTAGGCATATTCTTCCCATCTGTGAATGAGGGAGATGCATCAACAGTTGTAAAGTTTAGAGCTAGCAGAATCTCCTACTGTAAGGTCTGCCAATGGAAGTACAACAATGAAGAGAGGCTTTTAGGCCTGTGCTATTCTGAACTATAAAGCAGGTCACTGAGAAAGAGAGACTACCCACAAGGGACAACACTTCTGCACAACACGACTGAAGCACTTTCTGCAACATTATAGCTTATTGGATTTCAAACTGCAGAATTAGGTGCCTAAAACATTAATGATTCTGAAAATTTCCGCATATGTGTGTTTTGGTTTTGGTTGGGGTTTTTTTTTGACCTTTTTACTTGCTGGTGGGTTTTCTGTTTGTAGTTGTTTTTTTTTTTCTTTACTTCCTTCATCAAACAGAATCTAACTTGGATTGTAACAGCAGCTCCTCTGGCAGTTTGATGCAAACTTCCTACTGCATCTGCTTTGCTGCTGTCTACACGGTACATAGACACATGTAATCGTTTCTCCATATGCCCTGAGAAACAAAGCCTGCTCCCATTAAAAAAAAGAGTCTATTGTTTATATTCTTGTCCTGTTAAAAGCTGAGGAAAGCAGTCATTAGTCTTCTATATAGGGACCTGTTATAGTTTCTTTGGATT